TCGATTTAGCTGCAATTGCCTCATAATCTTCGTCAACCCGATCGCAACAATGCGTAAGTAGCTTGTCAGCTATCTCCAATGTCTCGGGCCGCTTTCCCACCAATTAAACGGTTTAGCTTTCCCGCAGCCCAATTACGACTCTGTAAGTTACCGGCTGTCCTAATCAGCCTCATCTGGCTCGCCATGTATTGTTGGGCAGTGGAAGTGGCCGCCCACACGTCGACCTGGCGCGCTCGGATTGCGCCTTTCATGTCCACAGCCGAGAATCCTTATGTCGAGATCGCCGACACTGACCGTGTCCCCGACAATGCAAACATCTACTGGGCAATTGTTGGTGCTGACAAGTGGGCCGACATCGAGTACCCCGCGCCACAGACAGAAACGATCAGATGGGTAGTCCGGCAGACGTACATCTTTAGCGGCATAAATGCAACGGCCAATTCAGGAACCGATTTGAAGAACATGCGCACCTTTTTCCAGGAGAATCGAAACACCATTACGAATCAAAGCTTACCGGTGCGGGTAAGCTGGGAAAGCGCGCGACAATTATCAACGGAAAATATCGTGGGCATCGAATGGATGGCCGAGTGGTATGTGAATGGCACGGCGCCGCAATTGTGGGAAGCACGGCAGACCACCGGGTCGTTTGCGGTCGTTCCAGGCGGCAGCAACGAGACTCTCACTGGCACTCCCTCCATCCCGCCCAAAGGTCCGGTGGAAATCACCTGGCCTGTGGGACAACTCCCATCTGGAGGAAGAGCTGCAAGCATCTCACCCCTCGACTTGATGGCGTGCGCAGCCATCTCGACTGCCGTTTTGGTCGGGTCGTCGCTTTTCTGATTGGCTTGTGTTTCCACGACGTTGCGACGATATGTTTTCGGTTTAGGACTGTGGGTTGCTAATTCGTATCCGACTACTAGGCAGTATATAGTGTATAACGACTTTCCATAGGTGTATTAGGTAGCAAGATACGTTTAACTGGGGACTTTCGAGTTAGATCCACAAGACCTACTTTCCGAAGAATACATAGAATACATGCACTCTCAAGCGAATCATCATCCAGACGATCAAGGCAGGCACCCTTGTATCAATCTGGTCTCTGCAGGACATGGAAGCACTTTCCCACTTCCAAAATATTGTCCTGACCTAGCAGCATGCTTAGAGCGAGGCGACTGCAGACGCGCTCTCAACCACGCGTGTGTGATTTTTGGGACAGAAGATGCTGGCGACACGAGAACAAGGCATAACCTTCTTTGTTGCTTATTCAGGTTCCCAGCATTCCACAATTTCGCCGCATTAATCGTGTTTGCTAAATGATGCTCGGCATCACTTGCCATGTCTCGGACTCGGCAGAGACACACGAACGATACCGCGCGTAACACGACGAGTTGAACACAGTTGTAAATTATTTTGTAATGGCATTGGCGGGTTCGAAATAAAGCAGATTGGGCTGAGTGGATCTTGACAGGCTGACAACGCTGAAGAACGACCTGTCACGATCGGGCCGCTCGACGCTCTAATAGCGATGACAACAACCAAAAATGAAAAAGCTGCCTGAAGAACTGAAAGCGGCAGAGACTCCCCCAGTCAACAGGGCGTTATAAAAGCGGGCGCATCCACACGGCCGGCGACTGGTCTCGTCTCCCTATCTCCTCCAACCAAAAATGAAGCTCTCAGTTTCCGCCTCATGCCTTTTGGCCCTCGCAGGAGCTCACCTCGCGCTCGCGAGCCCCATCCTCAGCCGGAACGGGGTTGACATCGCCTCCTCGCCTATTCCATCTGATCCTGAGCTTCACATTGACCCTTTCACTGATTTATTTGTCGGTCGCATCTACCATTCCAATGGAACCGAAGTGAGCTTTGAGGACTATGTGAAGATCCACGCGTTGATGACGAACACCACCGCTCCTGAGGTAAGTAACTTTCATATCCGACTCTACGTCAACGTCGCCGGCTCCTAACGGACACGGTTCTTCTGCACGTAGGTGACAGTAATTCCCGGCGCCAAACCTCCGAAACAGGCAGATGTGGCTGGTGACTTTTGCTGGCATACCGAAGGACTTAGAAAGTCCGGCAGCCCTCGCTATTGGGAGACGGGCCATAATCGAGTCAGCGCCGAACATTGCTCCGATGACAAAATCAAACAAACTTTCAGCGTGGGGTACACTTATACGAGACAAGCGAGTATCGACGTACGCGCCAAGCTTGGTAAAGATTCATACGATCTTGGCGGCGGGATCACGTTCGTGCAGGTGGGCATTGCATGCTGGAAACACTGTGTACCAGTGGTAACTCGACTAATACGGCCTTTGGTATCCGTTGTGTAGTCGGCTACCAGCACCTTAACCATGGCCCTCGAAGTCCCGCTGAAACACTGCGGTGTCCTGGTCTTCCAAGCCAAGATGGTAGGACACTGGTTCGAAAAGACCGGGCAGCATTGCTGTTCAATGAAGTACCCGCCGTGTCAGTCCGAGTACGTTATCGAGAAATTCTACGCCGATTCGCCCGTCTCGTGGAAGGACCATAACGGAAACAACGTCTTGGACGGCAGGTGGTCGCCTCAGTCGTGGCGCAATCCAGCGTACCCGGAAAATGGCGGCGGCGGCGGTGGCGGCAGCGGTGGTGGTGGTGGTAACGGCAACAAGAAGGGCGAATGGGCGACATGCAATGCCCACACTGAATGCAAGAATAACTGTTGCTCTGCAAAGTATTCGAACGGTGTCAAGAAATGCACTCCCAATGGTTGTTAATAATGTTAAATTGGTGGCCTATGTGCATAGAGTACTAGATAGAGTTTACATAGAGTCTCGAACAATGCTTTTGTACAACCGTTTGTCTGAACACCGCCTTTCACCAAATCAACACTGTCAGTGGTGACAAGCTCATCGTCACAACCGTCCCGAAACCACCACGCACTTCATCAGAACTCAGATCGGGACAAGAAATGCAGTACATGCACAGATGCCCATAGTGCCTGGTTGGGAGATATAGTGCCCGCAAGCCGGCAATGCACTGCCGTGTGTTGCACTAGGTTCGCTCGTCTGTGTATGAACTTTTTATTGTGAGCTCGCTCGACTCACCTCAGACGCGTTTGCTCCCACTGATCGATAAAAGACCATGTGCATGACTGTGCCGTGTATTTGAGTATTCGATACGTTGCGCCTTCTCGGCGCAGTTTTCACACGGCTTTGCTTCTTCAGAAGCAAGGGCCTCCAGCTCCGCGAGAGCAGTTTCGATATCGTTGTTCATGATGGAGATTGGATGTGGGAGTGTCCTGTGAATGGGCTTGCTGCCCTGGGAGCTGGCAAAAGCGCCAGTCATCGTGCGCTTTTTTGTTCCCCTTTGGTGTTCACTCGTCCTCACGGATGTCATTCGCTCAGCCGCTTCGGGCGTTACATCGCGAGGTGCGATGCCGGTGGTCTGGACTATGGCCCGGATGTGAGTATAGGCCATGAATTTCTTGTGCTACGGTTCCATGCTGTAGAGGTTGCTGAACGCCAGGACAGATGTGAGACTTTCTATCCCTCCTAATTCCGTGAATACCCACCAGAAATCCGCCTTCTCAAAGAGTAGCTATGACAACACCTCTAAATACATGTTAACGAGCCAACAATGTCAGAAGATGATGAGCCAAGCCTTGCGGATGATTCCAAAAATGTGAACGTTTTGAGAGGCTTTTGCGACAGGTAGTTGACAAAACGTTCACACTTTTGGAATCGATTAGTCAGTCGACGTTTGGAGGCATTGGCCACATAATGATTGAAAAGCAGGGCAAGAAAGTCAATTTTCAGTTCGAACAGAATGAAGCCACTACAGCTTCGGTGTTGCGTACGTGGTTTCGGTGTTCGCGGCCGTTTTACTCGACCTAAGAAAGTGGAGACCAGGTTGTCAGTGAAATCATCAACGCAGATCAACCGCGATGACAGTCTGCCAAAATCTGAGCGATTCAAGGCGACGGATGAAGTACCATCAATTGTTGCGTATAAAACGAGCGGTGGGCTGCGGGAAACACCGACCCGACGGTGCCAACTGATGCCGTGCGTAAAGTTAGATGCCACTTTTGAAAATCAGCTTTTTTTTACTCCACAAAAGATGTAAGGATGCAGGGATGCCGGGAAGTTCCTATGCCGTTCTGTCACCCACTGCAAACAAGAGGAGGAGCACCGCGAGCATAAGGGCGAGTGGGCAGCAGCGAACAACAGGGGGTTGTATCTCAGCGCTAGAGCAGCACGGTGAGCAGCGAACAACAAAGGGTTGTATCTCAGTGGTAGAGATGCACGGTGAGCAGCACGGACAGGTTGGGGTTGTATCTCAGTGGTAGAGATGCACGGTGAGCAGCACTGACAGATTGGGGTTGTATCTCAGTGGTAGAGCAGCACGGTGAGCAGCACTGACAGGTTGGGGTTGTATCTCAGTGGTAGAGCAGCACGGTGAGCAGCACGGACAGGTTGGGGTTGTATCTCAGTGGTAGAGCAGCACGGTGAGCAGCACTGACAGGTTGGGGTTGTATCTCAGTGGTAGAGCAGCACGGTGAGCAGCACGGACAGGTTGGGGTTGTATCTCAGTGGTAGAGCAGCACGGTGAGCAGCACGGACAGGTTGGGGTTGTATCTCAGTGGTAGAGCAGCACGGTGAGCAGCACTGACAGATTGGGGTTGTATCTCAGTAGTAGAGCAGCACGGTGAGCAGCACTGACAGGTTGGGGTTGTATCTCAGTGGTAGAGCAGCACGGTGAGCAGCACTGACAGGTTGGGGTTGTATCTCAGTGGTAGAGCAGCACGGTGAGCAGCACTGACAGGTTGGGGTTGTATCTCAGTGGTAGAGCAGCACGGTGAGCAGCACTGACAGGTTGGGGTTGTATCTCAGTGGTAGAGCAGCACGGTGAGCAGCACTGACAGATTGAGGTTGTATCTCAGTGGTAGAGCAGCACGGTGAGCAGCACTGACAGGTTGGGGTTGTATCTCAGTGGTAGAGCAGCACGGTGAGCAGCACTGACAGATTGGGGTTGTATCTCAGTGGTAGAGAGCCCGCTTCGCATGCGGGAGGCCCAGGGTTCAATCCCCTGCAACTCCATTTTTGGTTTTTTTGAGTATTGAAGTTCTTGAAGCGCGTCGATCTTGTCCATGTGCTGCAGATGGGGGCAAATGCTAGAATGGGTAGAACGACGTGATGCCAGTTCGTTGGAATCTTGCCCCTGCGAGGGCGTTCAAGTGGAAAAGAGAATACTTTTACCACATTGATAGTCACGGATACTTGTTCCTGCAAGAAACAAAGATCCGCAACTTTACTTCGTGTGAGTACGATTGAAACCGCTCGTCTGTTACGTATGGACGTGTTGGTGTTAACAGCTTTTGAATAGGCTTCAAGGATAAGCCGTTCCTCAACTTTTTCTTCAATAACTTGCTTCCGAATGTGACCCAACAACATCCCGAGTACGAGTGGATATCGCCTTGCGGTCCCGAAATGAATTTCATCAAAGCAGAGGACACACCGATCGTCTACCACAGCCTGACGTCCGATGACTCGCATCTCACTTGGGCCGGCGATTTGCAACACCCGTTTCGTCCCCAGGACATTGTTGTTGGAACCAGTGGACGCTTGTACTACCCGAGTCCGGTCAAGTGGGATGTAGACGCTCTGCTTGAGCAACGCTTATCTTGGAAGCTACGCTATTCCCTATTAAAATCGAGTCTTGTCGTTGACAAGATGATGGCGCATATGAAGGATTGCGGGGACGGAACGCTATTGCAATGGCACGACGGCGGCGGATATTTGTTAAAGCCATTAAGCGACATCCATTAACCGCGAATTAACTGTGCCCGCCTTGTGTGGCGTGAGATGCATATGCACATGATGATTAGTAGTGGCGACTGATTCCTTTCTCGCCATGCCTAGAATGTTACGCTCTAATAAATGGACCTGACGATCTTTGAAATTGAGAGAACGTCAACACCAATGACAACGAGCAGAACGGTTGGTTGCAACTTTTGAGTGGCGCAACGAGTGGCGTCCATCACGTAAGCACTGACAATGGAAACTCCGCCACGCGTGAAGCGCTGAGGGAACCTTGTAAAACCGTGCGGGGGCTTTCGCATCGTCTCTTGTTAAATGTCTGCAGCGCATCCGCCAAAACACCATCGAAGAAGCAGCTTGCCGTCGCTCTCCTCGTACTCAACTCCATTGTTTATCCCTGATGGCGCACTTCAAGCCATGTCCACGGCCCATCGGGACCATGTACGATACGACATGGGACTCGACCTGGAGCTGACGCTGAATAAAAAGTTGTATATTCACTCAAAGGATTCGCATCCGACGCGTGATTCGGCAAAGGAGGATGTGCGGCTGGAGAGTGCTGATGATAATGTCAAACCGGAAGGTGAAATCGGCGAAACCGTCGCAGACCTGAGCTCATCGGAAAGTGAACCTGTAGCTGATGATGTCGCAACTGGACTTAGATTTGGAAGTGTAATACCACAAGAAGTGCCTTCAGTGCAGACCTCAGCGGAAGATACCCCCGCGGAGCCACCGCCTGCTCCACTTGAACCCGCAAAAGAACTTCCAGTGGTCACAGCAGACGAGGCACCGCGGCCATCGTTGAGCGCACGCACGGTAACTGCTAGGCCTCCCAGCGGTCGCGACAAGCCTGCTGTTCGAGATTGGAATGCAGGACTTACCACGCTCATTGAAGAATCCGAAAGTTACGAGGATTTGGCCGCTGATGAGGAAACCACGGGTCCATATGTGGAACCCGAACTGGTCATCCCTTTGAGGGGTGACATTGATCTACGGCCTCTTGCGGTTAGGGGTGTCATTCCAGGCATGCCGGTCATCGAAATATGGCATTTAGAAGAGCGGGAGGACTCTTTGATATCTGAACTGGCAAGGAAGAAACTGGCGCTGACAGAGCTGCTAACGGATGTTGAAGCTTTAGAAGAAGATTTGCGGATAGCTGAGCATCATGATCAGGAGGTACGTTATCTAGTACACTACTCGGGATACGTGGTGACGGATGGTATGTCTTAATCAGAATTCTCTAAAAAGGTTGTTCAGGCAATCAACCACGTCTTGCAAGATAACACCCAAATTGTACAAATGCTATCATCAGTCAATGCGTGTGACCCTCATCATAGGGAAAAGCTGTTGAGTATTGCAGGGCGGTATGATCCGCATGTGAGAGAGGCGACGGTCAAGGCGCTTGAAGATGCCATTCCCATTTCGCGGACAAAAAGCTCGATGAGACAATCCATGTCGTATGCATAGGATGGAGTCATGTATATAGCTCTCTTATTGCCAGAGTATGGCTTTACTATTATAAATTTTGGAACTCGTAAATTCGAGAAATTCTCCGAAGATCTAACCACATTGTATTTTGCTTAAGCGTAATCAAACTCCGCTGCGTATTCGTCCAAAAATTCGTAGCGAGTGGGTAAATCAGCGCACCATACACCCCCCACGTCGGTTGCGCCAGGTCTTGTCTTGATCTTGACACGATGCAATCCAATGTAGGCACAGACTGGAATAGACACCACGGCGTCGGTGCGACCCTTCTTGCGAACTGGGTAGAAGAACGCGCAGCGGGAAAAGAACGAGTGCTGGAAGAGCGCAGCGACATTGCGAAGCTGAGCAAGAATGGGCACAAGGTAGAGGGAAAGTCAAGTATTTCAGCTGCAAAAGTAATGTGGCGCTAAACATTCGGTGGTGACAGGAAATCCTCGTGCACTCGCGCGATCCACGCGAGCTGAGCTCAACGTCGCGCGAGTCATATACGCCCAAGAACCTTGTGGATCCGAACCGACCAGGTGCAGAAAAGGAACGGCAGGAGGCGGAGCTCTTTAGGAAGGCATTGTAGGTGGTGCGCGGCTTGCGGCTCGTGCCAGAACGAGACGGAAGCTTGATCCTTATACCTTTCGTAGAGAAAAGGCGTTGCATCCCCCGGTGGATCGATCAGCCAAGGATTGGGTATCCACCCATCATGCGGACTTTAGTCACGAGGACATATACGGCAAGTTAAAGGATCTTGGTAAGTGTCTTCCTTTACAAGTGCACATCGCTCAGCATAAAGTGCTAACCAACGATTCGGCTCACAGGTGAAGAGCCACCATCCGAGGTATTATCTCTTCTGGTTTTCTCAACTCAGCAGGGCTTGGACACTCATGAACAATTCATATGAATAGGAAGAGAAAGCCCGATTTCTCCATCCGATCACTTTTTGGTCAGATTACGCCGTCAAAGGCAGCGGTACCACCATTGGTTCGAATCCGAGTTCGATCCTCCAACGGCTCTCCACGCCCAACAAGGGCCAAGCACCAAAATCAAACTGCCCCGTGGGCCATCGCGCCGGACAAGAGTACCAGCATCGTGCGTCCGGTGCTCGCGTGAATTTCGGACGGCATTGTGACTTTTCAATACCGATAGCCGAGTATTTGAAAGGGCCGGTGAAAGATTTATAGAGTAGACGCGGAGAACTGTGAGCTGCGCGAGTAATGATATTGGTAAAACACCTGCCGTGAACTCGTGTCTGTTGCATCCTGCCTCGGTGTAACGGTTTGTCGCCAAGTTCCTCGATTAAAGTATGTCCCTTTCCCACCACACGTGAACGACCAATGGAAGATAGAAAGGTTCCAATTGCAGATGTAAATACAGTAGCATAAAATAACAGTTGGGGGGGATCTACTTTCACCCCCTACACAGAGACCCCAAAGCCAAGCCTGCAACTTCCATTCCTTTCCCGCTCACCCCCAAAAAGGCAAACTTGGCTATGCATGCCCGCAGCACATTTTCCCTGAGGCTCAATCATGAACCGATAACCATAGAGCGCCCGAGATTGACGACTCTGCAACAGCCGGAGATAACAAATTCTCAATGTGATGTGGTGTGATAGTTCAGCGCTAATATGGTTAATAAAGTGCGCATTATAGTTCTACACATTGTACATGTCGGCATTTGAAAAACTGCAGGTGTGGAAGAATCTTAGAATTGATGCGGAGTGAATGAAAACGAAAATGAACAAACCTAGAGTTTTTCTGCAATGCATCCGAATGTGCCTGATATCCCATTTTATCTTCGATCATAATAGTCCCCTTCCAATGTTGACCAGCTGCCCGCGTTTTGTGCTCATCCAACGCACTTCTCGTCCAAAGACTAATTCTGTCGGCTGCTTTTCGGATACTGATCACGACACCACAGATTTCTTCTCCATCCGGAAAAGTCTCGCCAATGCATGCCAATATGGTATTCAACCATAACTGGTCCAGACTCTCTGACTTTTTCTTTATCTGCAGCACCCATTTGCCGCCCTGTGCGTTTTGAGGATCTTCCCACATGGGTTGAATGCCTTCTTTGAATAAGTGGTAGTTCGCACCGTGCGGCAGTTGGGATGCTTTGAGCACGTTGTTGTATACCCTAACATGAGCAATTGGTGTCAACATTATCACTTACTTATCATCAAATGATAATAAGATAGTTACCCCCAGAAATCCTCCACAGTATCAAACGTCACTAAACTTTTTAGTCTGTCACCCCAGTTGGACTGATTCGCCCTCTTTTGCGGGTTATCAAACCAGAGCGTCCATCGACTTTCTAACGGGTGCTTCATGTTGAAGTTCACAGGATCTTCAAAGACGGTCTTGTCGTCTTCGGGAACAGCAACCGGGTCTACTTGATCCGGAGACGTAGAGAGATGGGATTCTGTGGTTGCGGCCATGGTGGTTAAAGATACTGTGTGCGGTAAGGCACGATTCGAAATTGATCGGTGGCTGGGTTGCAATGAGATCGCTCCTCTTCTGGATTTTGGTCTGACTACTGATTTCCTCTAACACCAACAAACACAATGTGTCTCCGCTCTCGTCTTTCGTTTGCAGTTAACTCCTTGCCCGTCTCCGCCTTCCGTCGCTCGTCGTTATATTCCGCTGTCGGTTGTTGATTCCAGATCAGAATTTCAAGGCTCCAAAGACACAAATTGACAGGGTCACGTGACACGTGTGGCTTATATATGCGGCGGCCGGCTTCTCTATTTGGACGCGCAAAGGCAGGGTACAGAGATGCATAATTAATCATGCGAGAGGAGGGTTGTG